GATGGGGCTGCAGGAGGGGATGGGGCTGCAGGAGGGAATGCAGATGCAGGAGGAGACGGGGCTGCAGGAGGGGGTGGGGCTGCAGATGCAGGAGGGGATGGGGCTGCAGGAGGGGATGCAGATATAGGAGGGGATGGGGCTGCAGGAGGGGATGGGGCTGTAGGAGAAGATGCAGATGCAGGAGGGGATGGGGCTACAGGAGGAGATGCAGATATAGGAGGGGATGGGGCTGCAGGAGGGGACAGGGATGCAGAAGGGGATGGGGCTGCAGGAGGGGATGGGGCTGCAGGAGGGGATGCAGACACAGGAGGGGGTGCCAGAGTGGGCATGGTTGCAGGAGGCGGCGGAGCTGCAGGAGGTGGCGGAGCTACAGGAGGGGATGGGAGGCAGGAGGGCATGGGTGTCTAAGTGTGTCTAAAGCTCAAGGCTGGCACTGCCTCTGGGCTTTCTTAAAGTCTCCCCCAGAACCTCAGCTTCAGAACCCATCAGACACCTTCCCTGTCCTAAGGGATTGGAAGCTGCCCTGAGCTTTGGCTGACTGAACCAGGCAATAGGGTGAAAGTGCACAGCTACCTTCCTGCCTGGCCCAGGGCCGGACACACAGTGGGGATCATGCATATCGCCAAGCTACATTAACACAAAGTGGAAGAATTAGAGACCAGGATGGAGCCGCCACACTCGCCCATCACAACCCTCTGGACCAAAGAGAATTGTGGATCATGAGAGGTGGGATCTCAGAGCTCTTAAGCATCCCCAGTCCTGGGAAGGGGAGCAGCTGTGTTCTCTCTCAGCCCTCCCTTAGCCGCAGGGAGCACGCTTCACTGCTGAGTAGACATCAGCAATAACACAGCCACATCTCTCAGACAGTGACTCACTGGGACTGGGCTCCCAGGCCAAACATCATGCCCTCTGAAGCCACTGCCTTGCACCCTGGCTGGAGAAACAGAAGGCAAAGATACGGCCCTGTCTGCTGCCTTCCTAGTCCACCGCCACCACCCTGCCCGCCTCAAAACACAAGAAAACTTAGCTGGGACTCAGGAAGGGAACCCAAAGATGGTACAGTAATGACTTTCAGGCCCCAGGAAGGCCGACAACAATGTGCCCCGGCTTTGGGATCAAGACACTAGGCCCACCCCAAGGTATTTCCCAGGAAAAACCTATCGTTCCTCCTAGCCTCAGTTTCCCCAAGTTCGAGTGAAGGTGGAGAGATGACCTCTAAGAGCCTACCTGCACCCATACCCTCTGCACCAGCACGGGGTTCTCATTGTCCCCTTCACGGTCTTGCCTGTTCCCGTCTCAGAGTCACTGCTCCTGTGCACAGGCACCATTCTGGCCCATTCCTCACCTACATGACCCTCAAGCCTCAGGTCCACAAAGCTCTCTCTGACCACAGGGCAAGAAAAGTTCTCTCTGTCCCTGAGTCCTGACAGCTACAAAGATGGCACAGTGCCTGCTATGGGTATAAAATCATCGCCTCCCTCAGGCAGGCTGTGAGCTCTCGGTACTGTGCCTGCCATCCTTCTGCTTGCTCCCCCTTTAACACGGTGCTCACCATACCCTGCAAATACAGATCAAATGAACATCATTTTTAAAAGAATACTAGGAGGATACGAATCAGTTACCCTTCCCTTTCACAAAGGCTCCAACACTGCAGCAAGAGAGTCAGGTCAGGCCTAAGGACCCTGCCTGCAGCAGCAACAGACAGGAACCTGAGGGCTGCAGGCTCTCCATCCCTAGAGATGTTTACACGATACCTGAAACCCCCTGCCTTTGCTAACTGAGCTCGCCTTCCTGAGGACAGGCTCCAGCCCAGGGAATGAGCCTCTGGACCCGGAGGTAGCCACAGTTCTTACTGGATGTCTCGAGGGACCTCTCCACAGGCTCCAGTGAGGTGGATTTCTTCCTGCCCAGGTTCATTAGGTTGCTCAGTTTGAGGCCAGCGGAACATTTCTTCTTGACTGTCAAGATGAGACAGAAAGCAATTGGTACTGCAGGTGGTCCACCCATGTGCCCAAGAGAGATGGAAAAAATAGCAAATCCATTCCCACTACGTCCACCCATCCCTCTCCACTACATATGTGCACCCACACACACATCTCCCCAAACCGGGACCTGCAGGCCAGAGTTAGGTGTCTTTAAAGTCGCACACTCAAGAGGGGTACACAGACTTCTTATAGAATATGTAACCACTTGAGATCTTTACAGACTGTACTGGTTCAAAGAGATTTGTAATAGGGTAAGCAAACAAGAGAGATGAAGAACATTCTAGCCCCAGCATTTCGTGAAGCTTAACTTCAATTTGACCGTGTCTCCTTTTCTCCTGGAACTGTCAGCAGTAGTATTTCCAAGTAGTTTATTAATGGGAGGCCATGTTAGAATCAGCGGCTAAAACCCAATGGTGTTGAGCCCAACAGCCCAGGCTCCCAGCCTGGGACACCATTCCCCTACCGACTCCAGGCTGTTACCGTCTTTGGTTTCTGGGACGTCAGGGTGGCCATCCATGGAGCTCCCACACTCTGAAGCTGACAGGTACTTCTCAGCTATATCTGGCTATGGACAAAAGAGACATGAATGGGGATCACTGGCTGGGAACAGGTACCTTGGAGACCACAATTTAAGGGAAAATACTAGATGGTTCTTGGTTGTAGGCCAGAGGTCAGCTGACCAAACCCCTGCCGGCCACCCAAATGGCAGAATCCAGGTCACTGGTAGGACATCGGCCCAGCTTCCAAATGGCTGCTCAATCTGATGTGACAGTGGCCCCTATAGCCAGCAGGCAGGGCAAGCAGGCTGCCCAGGGGTGGCATTAGAGTTTGCATCCCCAACGACATTGACTGTCAAGCTAAACCACTCATTTTGAGAGTGTGAAGAAGTCTCCTGAGAGCTGACTGTTCTAGCCACGGGGGCTGGCTCATTAGCACAGGGACCGTCCATGATCTGAGTCCTGGCCAGAGCATTTTGCTTGTAGGTTAAAGGAGCCTCTCTGAGCCTCACTCTGCATGTGTGTCACAGAGGGATGACATCCCAGTCTGCTCACAGGGGTGTTGGAGACTAGAGATAATCCCTAGAAAAGTGTAGCTGCCGCTGCTGTTAGAACACGAAGGCCTCAGAATATTCTAATCAAGCTGCTTTGAGAGCATCACAGACTCCAGATCTCTAGAAAACAAGCTGACAGCCTCCCATGCAACAGTTAATTGAACTGACTGGCCTTAGGCAGGGTCCAGGGCCAGCAGTCCCTGGCCAGGGAAACACTGCGTGCTGAGTCTTTAGGGACAGCTCTTGTTTCTCACCCCAATGTGAAGAAAACCCAAATTCATTCCAGCTTGTGTTTGCTTGTCAGTGGCCAAGGAATAAATGAGACAATGAAAAACGGCCCCTCCTGAGTCACTCTGGAATCTGGAAGGACTGTGGGCTCTTTCTCCATGGTGGATGACCTGTACCTTCTGGAGAATAAGCGGCCTCCATCCTGCTCAAGCCCCTGTGTGCCTCTTGCTTTCCTCCCTGGCAGGGGCGGGGACCCCAAGAGGAGCCACAGTGACCTTCTGGCTATTCTGTGTGCCCAGCCTTCAGCACACCTACCTGCAGGTACTCAGGGACAGGAAATGTGACCCGACAGGTGACAATCCTCCCTTTGGCCAGAACCTAACTTAACTTCTTCAGCTTTGACCTTTAAGCCCAAAACTCCCCCCAAAGTACCCTGCAAATGATGCAGTCTTTTGGTTGCAATCAGCCTTGAGGCAGTGCCCCAAGTCCAGGGGCCCGACTGAGGAATAAGGGGGAAGGAAGTGCCTCATAAAATCAGTCTCCCTGCTTAAGAATGCAGGCCAAAGTGACTTTTGTTCAAACAAAGCTTCTCTGTCCCCCACCACCCGCCCACCCCCGGCACCCACAAGCAAGAAAATATTTTAAGTCTGTATCAGTTTCATCCATTTTCCTGCCAAGCTAGAGCTATTGCTCTTTTCCAAGCATTGTATGTTTCTTTTCTTCTTTTTTTGAAATGGAGTCTCCCTCTGTGGCCCAGACTGGAGTGTAGTGGCACCATCTCGGCTCACTGCAACCTCCACCTTCTGGGTTCAAGTGATTCTCCTGCCTCAGCCTCCTGCGTAGCTGGGATTACAGGTACCCACCACCATGCCTGGCTAATTTTTGTATTTTTAGTAGAGACGGGGTTTTACCATGTTGGCCAGGCTGGTCTCAAACCCCTGACCTCAGGTGATCCTCCTGCCTCGGCCTCCCAAAGTGCTGGGATTGCAGGCGTCGGCCACTGTGCATGGCCTCAAGCATTGTATGTTTCTTATTAATTAGACTGAAATATAAAAACCAAGCTCCCAATTTTATACTTTTAATTTTTAGGAGAAAGCATGGAAGGGGACTCTGCCTCCAGGCAGGACAGAGGCTTACTTTCTGGCAGTTAAAGCGCTGGGCATCCGGAGTATACTGGTTTCCTTCAGATGCACCTTCAGAAGGCAGGCCGCTCACTTCCTGGATGACCTGAGGTGAGAGGGAAGCTGTCAGCAGAAGCTGAGGTCCTCTGGCCAGCACTCACAGCCAGGCAGAAGCCACGTTCCTCCAGGTCAGTAGAGCAGATGAGGTGAGGGAGAAGATGCTGAATTTCCAAGGAAGAGGACCCACCCCCATCCCAGCTCCAGCCCCAAGGCCTGCACGTGGCCTTGAACCCAGCTCTGCAGGCTGCAGCGGGGAGGGCTGGTTGTGTAGGCTCCTTTCTGCAGGTCCCACACGTTCAGGGGCATGAGAGGGGGCCCTTGGCAGCAAAGGCCAAAGATGACCAGAGCCGCCAGCCCAGGGCTCCACGAGCCCCTTTCCTGTCACCATTCCAGGCAGGGCTACTGTGCTGATGTAGGTGTGATGAGCAACATCCCTGCTAGACAGTCCCCTGGATTCTCAGAGGTCGCGCGACTCTCAGTGGAGTCTCTACGCTGCCTGAGGAGCAGGCCTGCAAACTGCCTTGTTCCAATGACCCACTGGCTCGCCGGACTCGCCTGCCACCACCCACCCACCCTTCCCTCTGGGAGGGGGCCGCTTCACTGGCTCCTTCATTGGACCAGTGGAGAAAGAGGGTCTCTCTGTAAAGGCTGGACACAGAGAGGCTATGCCTTCTGAAAGCGTTCTTGTCTTTGAAACCCCGAGCAGAGGCTACAGGGCAGGGGTCTCAGGAAGAGGGCGTGAGAGTCTGGGGAGGGAGGCTGGGTCAGGGAGAGGGTGAGTGGGTTTGGGCAGTTGGAAGAATGGAGCCTGGGCTGGGGGCAGATGCAGAAAGTCAGCGGGGGCTCTGACTATGTAAAGCAGTGCCTCGGTCTGAACCAGGGACACTCCCTTCTTCCTGGGGGAGCTCCCAGGGTGACCAGAAACACAATGCCCACCTGGAAGCCCTTTGGAGGTGCAGAATTAGTAAAAGTGATTTCAAAGATCCTCCTCTTCAGTCTATGCCTAGAGCAGTTTATGGAAATGGGTTTCAAATCGGAAGAGCTCCAAAACTCCAGTTCAGGACTGTGGTCCACACTAAATATGCAACACAGTGGCAAGGGAAGAGCACAGGCACTAGAGCTGCCACCTGTGTGACACTGAGCCTGAGCCTCAGCCACTGCATCTGTAAGCTGGGACAATACCTCTGCTGCAAGCCAGCAGTGAGTGGCTGTGTGTCAAGTACCCAGCACAGGGCAGACACATCGACTGCCATCCCTATTAGCTTGGGCCAAATACACGGACGCCTCCACCCAGGGAAAGCACCATTAAGCCAGGAGTTCAGGAGTGGGGCAGGGGCAGGGGTGTCCTTCCCTGGAAAAGCCCTGCGTTGTGCCTTCCTTTACTGGGACCCATGTTCCATAGTCAACATCCCCTGTTTACTGTCATATACCTGTCCCACCCTGGGCATGGGTGGGAATATGCAGAATTGGGACACAGAGGCCCAAGGAAGGTAGATGAGCTTCACAAACCCAACACAGCTAGGTGGAGAGCCCACTGGACAGGTGGACCAGACCCTACTCCCAAAGTGCAAAAGTGGGCAGCTTCTCAGAGCAGGCATTTCCAGCCAAGTCCACCTCTGCAATCATCTGACCGGAGGGAAAGGGTTTCTCTCTGAAGGCTGGACACAGAAAATCTGTGCCTTCTGAAAGCATTCCTGTCTTTGAAACCACCAGCAGAGGCTCTGGGGCCAGGGGTCTCTGGAAGAGGGCGTGAGAGTTTGGGGAGGGAGGCTAGAGGCCAGGGAAAGGGTCGGTGGATCTGAGCAGTCAGAGGAAGAGCACTGGGAACTAGAAGCAAGAGCACAGAGTGTGTGCGTATGCATGTGTGTGCATGTGTGTGCACGTGTGTGTGCGTGCATGTGTGCGTGTGTATACATGCACAGACACAATGTATGCATGAACATAAGTGTATATAAATGTGCATTTGTCCATATGTGTACAAATGTATACATGAATGTGCATGTGTGCATATATGTGTGCAAATGAGTGTGTGTGTAGTGGGTGAGGATGGGGAGGGATAGGAGGCAGGAGACTGGGGTGAGAAACCAACAGCCCAGAGCTCTGGGTCCTAATCAGCTCTGCAGCCCAGGACAAGCCCCTACTCCCTCTGGGCCTCAGTGGTCTTATCTGTACTCTCCAAGTTTCACAAAGCACTCAGTATATACCAGGCACAGTGCTAGGCACTTTGTGCACATTAACGCATCCAGCCCCAAATCATTCAGTTAAAAAAGGGTGAAGCCATGCTCATTTGGTAGCACATATACTAAAATTGGAATGATACAGAGATTAGCATGGCCCCTGCGCAAGGATGACACACAAATTTGTGACGCATTCCATATATTTAAATGATAAAGGGGATAACACCATGGATTCCACAGAAATACAAACTACCATCAGAGATTACTACAAACAACTCTATGCACATAAACTAGTAAACCTGGAAGAAATGGATAAATTCCTGGACACTTGCACCCTCCCAAGCCTAAATCAGAAAGAAGTCGAAACCCTGAATAGACCAGTAACAAGAGCTGAAGCTGAGGCAGCAATTAATAGCCTACCAACCAAAATAAGCCCAGGTCCAGATGGGTCCACAGCTGAATTCTACCAGACATACAAAGAAGAGCTGGTACCAACCTTTCTCAAATTGTTCCAAACAATCCAAAAAGGGGAATCCTTCCCAAATCATTTTATGAGACCAACATCATCCTGATACCAAAACCTGGCAGAGACTTAAGAAGAAAAGAAAACTTCAGGCCAATATCCATGATAAACATAGATGTAAAAATCTTCAATAAAATTCTGGCAAACCAATTGCAACAGCACATCAAAAAGCTTATCCATCACAATCAAGTAGGCTTCATCCCACCTTAAACTTCATATGGAACCAAAAAAGAGCCTGCATAGCCAAGTCAATTCTAAGCAAAAGGAACAAAGCTGGAGGCATCATGCTACCTGACTTCAAACTATACTACAAGGCTACAATAATCAAAACAGCATGGTACTGGCACCAAAACAGTGATATAGACCAATGGAACAGAACAGAGGTCTTGGAAGCAACACCACACATTTACAGCCATCTGATCTTTGACAAACCTGACAAAAACAAACAATGGGGAAAGGAGTCCCTGTTTAATAAATGGTGTTGGGAAAACTGGCTAGCCATGTGCAGAAAGCAGAAACTGGACCCCTTCCTGACACCTTACATTAAAATTAACTCCAGATGGATTAAAGACTTAAACATAAGACCTAACACCATAAAAACCCTAGAAGAAAATCTAGGCAAAAACATTCAGAACATAGGCATAGGCAAGGACTTCACGACTAAAACACCAAAAGCACTGACAAAAAGCCAAATGGACACATGGGATCTAATTAAACTCCACAGCTTCTGCACAGCAAAAGAAACAATTATTAGAGTGAACCAGCAACCAACAGAATGGGAAAAAAGTTTTGCAATCTACCCATCTGACGAAGGGCTAATATGCAGAATCTACAAGGTTCTAAAACAGATTTATAAGAAAAAAACAAACAAACCCATTCAAAAGTAGGCAAAGGATATGGATAGACACTTTTCGAAAGAAGACATATGTGACGCCAACAAACATATGAAAAAATGCTCATCATCACTGTTCATTAGAAAAATGCAAATTAAAACTACATTGAGATACCATCTCAAGCCAGTTAGAATGGCGATCATTAAAAAATCTGGAGACAACAGATGCTGGAGAGGATGTGGAGAAATAGGAACACTTCTACACTGTTGGTGGGAGTGTAAATTAGTTCAACCACTGTGAAAGACAGTGTGGCGATTCCTCAAGGACTTAGAAATAGAAATCCCATTTGACCCAGCAATCCCATTACTAGGTATATATTCAAAGGATTATAAATCGTTCTTTTATAAAGACACACACACACACATATGTTCACTGTGGCACTGTTTACAGTAGCAAAGACCTGAAACCAACCCAAATGCCCATCGATGATAGACTGGACAAGGAAAATGTGGCACATGTATACCATGGAATACTATGCAGCCATAAAAAAATGATGAGGTCATGTCCTTTGTAGGGACATGGATGAATCTGGAAACCATCATTCTCAGCAAACTGACACAAGAACAGAAAATCAAACACCGCATGTTCTCACTCATAGGCGGGTGTTGAATAATGAGAACACATGGACACAGGGAGGGGAGCATCACACACTGGGGTCTGTTTGGGGGGGACTAGAGGAGGGACAGCAGGGGGTAGGGAGGTTGGGGAGGGATAACATGGGGAGAAATGACAGATATAGGTGACAGGGATGGAGGCAGCAAACCACATTGCCATGTATGTACCTATGCAACAATCCTGCATGTTCTGCACATTTACCGCAGAACCTAAAGTGCAATAAACTGTATATATAAAAGAGGTGAAGCCAGGATTTGATCTCAGAGTCCTGGCTCTCAAATGCCCAGGGCTGGCCTTTCAGAGCTTGTTAGCTCTCTCAGGAACCCTACCCCACATGGAAATCTATGAAGCCAAACCACAAACCTGTCTTTGCAGTAGCCTTTCCTTTTCTACATAACACTGTCTTTCACCACTTGAAGATTTTGCAATAAAGATTGAGATACCTGTCTGCACCTTCTAGAAGCTTGGTTTGGCCAGGCCTGAAATTTCCAAAACAATTAGTGGGTTTACAAAAACATCCTGCCTGCTCCAAATCTAGGGTACTCAGCCCTATGGGTGGACCAGTGACTCGGGCAGGTATATTTTGGTCATGTTTTACCAAGGCGGTCAGATCTGTTTCTGACAGGGTCACCAAGGTGGTTATGTTTAGCTGGGGTGGCACGTGGGGTGGGGTGTGGGGTGGATAGAATGCCCCTGTGCTAGAATGGCTGTGATGGGAGACGGGGCAGCAGGAAGCAGGGGAAGGACCACTCTAGCTCTGGGGGTCCCTCTGGAACTGGGGATCCATTCCTGGTGCAAACCTTATACCTGCTGGAAGCATCAAGCCCATCTTCCACCTGGGGCAGGCAAGCCCCTTCCCCAGTGCCTCATTATCACCACACCCGGGGAAGCGTGGGCCAAGTGGACCACATACGTTCGTGGTGGGAGGAGGCGCAGCACTGTGTCAGATAGTCCTAGGTCTGAGAACCAATGTGCCACCACTTGCCAGACAACTTTGATCCATCATCTTCACCCTTTGAGCCTTAATCCCACTCCTGTAAAATGGGGACATTCACATTCCCCAGCTATCCCCAGTGTGGTTTCGTGGGTTCAAGTTGCTAATAGTCCTTGGTCTATGGCAAATAGGTAGCAAGAAGCAGCAACATGTATTCTTCTTCAATAGGAGGTTGGGGATGCCTCACTAGAGGCAAAAAGGGAAATGGGTTTCCACTGCTCCCAAGTCCAGGCTACTGAGGATTCAGAGCTAGCAGCAGCTGCTGTAACCCATTTGCAGAAGACAAATCGCTACCACTTAGAACACGGGAAGCTCTGCAAACCTGAAGGATCAGAAATCCTCTACCCCTGACCCTAACATCTGCCCCTTTAGAAAAGCTGGGAACCACAACTCTAGGAGCCCCTCCAAGTAGCCCGGTGCCCCTCACCCTGAGCCACTGCTCGGCCTGGTCCTTGCTCTGCAGGCCCAGCACGATCACGTCGGCGTTCATAGGCGTGATCTTCAGTTTGTGCTCCTTCTTCCGCACTTGCTTCTCCTTGTGAACGACGCTGCTGCCCAGCAGGTTCACGTCCAGCTGAGGGCTGTGGTCCTTGGAGGATTTGTAGCACTGGAAGGAAAGAGGGAAGATCCACCACTTTGACAGGGATGCCGGGCGGAGGCGATGTCTGCAAAGGAGGGGCCACTGGATGCTGCAGGACCCCCCGAGAGCCTGACTTTACCCAGCAAGACCAAGAGGCTGGATACCCCAAGCAAGCCTGGAGCCCTAACCTCAAATATCAGAAACTCCTGTTTGTCACATCAGATTGTCCCTGTCTCCCTCAAGCCTCCTCACCAGCCTCAGCCAAGGATACTCCAGGATGCTGCTATCCAACTGGCTCAAACTTGCCCCAGGCCTTGGTGGGGGGGACCCTAAAATACCACCTCTGTGGACACCCTTCAGTTCTCCAAAGTGGAACAGATTTTCACCCTTTCTCCACCTCTCTGCATTGCTTGCCTGGCTTCTACAGTAAAGGATCCACAGGGCACAAAAACTAAGCTTCGTATCTGATGAGTTAGGAAGATGATGTGTTAACAAAGAAAGGAAGGACTCTCTTCCCCCACCAGAGAAAATACTTCGCCCCTTGGCTTCCCATTTGTAAAATGGGGGAAACCTTATAGGGTTGCTCAACAGGATTACCTGAAATAACATTAGCACAGAGCAGGACCCGTTGTAACCAGGCAAGAAAAGGTGTTTCTAATAATTCGTGGAATTTCAAATCAGGACATGCAACTGGGAATTTTAATTTAAAATATCAGGAAACAGGACTGTTGTCAGAGTAATATCTGGTTCCTTGATGGGTCTTGTCTTATAATCAGTAGTTTAAAATACTGTTGCTTCTGAAGATACCTACCATTCTCATGCTGCGGATAAAAACAGTAGCCGGAGCCAGGCATGGTGGCTCACGCCTGTAATCACAGCACTTTGGAAGGCCGAGGCAGGCGGATCATGAAGTCAGGAGTTTGAGACCAGCCTGACAAACATGGAGAAACCCTGTCTCTACTAAAAATACAGAAATTAGCCGGGCATGGTGGTGGGTGCCTGTAATCCCAGCTACTCAGGAGGTTGAGGCTGGAGGATTGCTTGAACCCAGGAGGTGGAGGTTGCAGTGAGCTGAGATTTCACCACTGCACTCCAGCCAGAGCGACAGAGTGAGATCCCATCTCAAAAACAAAACAAAACAAAACAGTAGCCAGAATTGGGGCTGGGCTGCAGGAGCCTGACTGGACTCCAGTGGACAGGATGTGAAAACGGACCCGGGGACAGAAAGATGTGTGTGTCTCAAAAGAGGAGGATGGGACACGGACGGGGGAGGTGGTGGTGGTCACAGCCCCCTTTGAGAGCCTGATGAAACGACAAGACCTTTCTGGTTCAGAAAATGTACATGCATCCATGCACACAAAATCCTGCATACAATTTCAGGTTAGGGAGAAGTTAAAATCCCCTGATATAATCAAGCTTAAAACCCCCAGGGTCAGGGACCATCCTGTTCCTCCTTCCCTTTCCCTGTACCTCCCCTAAGGAGAGAAGCCGGGGACAAGACAGCATGAGGCAGACTGACCAGAAGCCTGGTGTCCTTGATGACACAGAGCTGCTTGGCCCACTGTCCCAGCCACTTCTTGCGCCACAGGAAGGCGCAGATGCGGGCGTCACGCATCAGCTCGATGCCAGCCTCCGGTGATGGCCACTGGTAGGGGGCCGACTTGCACTTGCTGCCGTCCTCTTCGTCGTAGGACTCGTAGGAGCTGCTCACAGCCTCTCCGTCCTCTGCAAGGAAGACCAGCTCAGTCAGGGCCTCGTGGGGCAGGGGACGGTCCTGAAGCAGCAGCAGCCAGGCCACAGCTCCCGACTCTCCTGCCCTCAAAGCAGCCCCACAGCCACCAGCCAGATCCCAGGGCTGGCCTTCCTGCCCCCAAACCCCTCAGCGAGGCTTCTCGGATGCTGCTTCTGGCCACAAAACACAAATAACTTCAAACCAAAGTCTCTCCCTTTTCCTCCTCTCATCCTGTCACTCCCCACTCCACAGAAACCCTGAGAAGACGCTGGCCCGCAGACCAACTGCTTGCTCTTGACAAGGCCATTCTCCTCCTCGGAGCCTGGACTTCCTCGAGTGAGAGATGAAGGGCGTGGGGGTGGGGTGTTGCCAGGTTCTTCCAGGCCTGGCGTCTGGCATTCAAAGGGCTCAGGCGGAAGCGAGCGCCATCTGCGCACCACCTGAGCTGCGCGCGGCACAGGCCTGTGAGGGCCGCTGGCCTGGCTGGACCTGAGGAAGGGGCTGCGGCTCCTCAGAAATAAAAGACCAAATAAACCACGGCAGGAAGTGCTTTCTGGGGAAGCAGCCACCTTCTTACTCCCAAATACCCTCTTCTCGCCATAGCCCTTTTTAAAACCTCCATTCATAACCTCCACAGACCCGGCTCGCTTCCCTCCCTGCTGAATACCTCCTGGCACAAATGTAGCTCCTTTACTCGTTTCTAACTTCAACCCTTCCTCTTTTGTTGTTTTGAAAGAATCCCAAAACTCATCAGAGCACAAATCATGCAGGATTCTATGCGCACCCCACCTGCCTCAGTTTCTATTTTCTGCCCCCACCACCCTGCAAGAGTTGTTCTGTTCCCAGGTCCCACTGCTCTATTCAAGGACAACAAAAACCGAGAAACAAAAATCAATCAATCATTTCATCTATCGATTGATCTATCTACCTACCTACCATCTCCATCAATCCATCCATCCATCCCTGAAAAGCAGGGCATGGAGGAAAGGGAACCTCAGGGTTTCAGTCTGACCCCTGGCACAGGAATCCTATCATAACCTTGATGCTCTGCCCAAATTTCCCAGGGAGGGCGCACCCCCTCCTGATCACTGGATACTCCCATACCCAGGCAGCCCTATCTGTTAGGAAATGGGCCCAGCATCTATTTCCCTGACTTCTGCATGGCAGTCCTTGTTCTGTCCCCTTGAGTCAGGCTGAATGACACTCTGCCTTCATTCCCATGACATCTTTCAGAAGAGGACCAGCCCATGGGCCCCTAAATCTTGGCAGAAGAATCCAGAAGCCCTTTCTCCTAGCTGTAAATCTAGATTTTTACTAAGAAGCACATTTGAATTCAAATATAGAAAAATAGAATGAGGCCCCTGCAGTAGTCATTCTAGCAACGGTGACAATGAAAATGTGTTTTGATATTTCTAAAAACATTTTAAATATTTTAATATCAATTTTCTTTAAAAGTCATGGGACATTACTCTTCTTTACGGCTTAATGTAAAAGTATATAATTTATACCTATTAAATAAGACTGAAAATAGCAGTATTACCTAGAATGGAACACTGAACTCTTCGATTACAGGCGACAATGTAAATTAACACAGGCTATTCAGAAAGCAGTCTGGCAGCCTGTTTCAAGGGCTATAAAAATGGCCATACTTTTTGATCCACTAATCCCAGTCCTGGGATTTTATCCTAGGAAACAAGTTTTTAAAAAAGAGAAGGAGCCAGGAGTAGTGGCTCATGCCTATCATTCTGGCACTCTGGGGTGCTGAGGCAGGTGGATCACTTGAGCTCAGGAGTTCGAGATCAGCCTGGGCAGCAAATTCCACCTCTACAAAAAATACAAAAATTAGCTGGGCATGGTGGTATGCACCTGTAGTCCCAGTTACTTGGGAGACTGAGGTGGGAGGATGGCTTGAGCCCAGGAGGTGAAGGTTGCAATGAACTGAGATTGTGCCACTGCACCCCAGCCTGGGCAACAGAGGGAGAACTTCTCTCAAAAAAAAAGGAGGAGGTGGGGGAGGAATGTTACATGCATTAGGATATTCAAATGCTGTTTAGCAGTCAGCAGAAGGGGACTGTGTAAGTAAGGCATGATTTTACCCACTTAGGAACCTACCATGCAGTTGTAATCAATTAAAACTCTGAAAACTAGTGTGCAGCTCGATAAACTCCCTAAGGTGTGCTACAGGAGAAAGCACAGTTAGAACTGTACGTGCAACAGATCAGCACTGCAAGGCAACAGAGGAAAAAGCTAAACATCGTTGATTCCATGGGTGGTAGGATCAGGGCGATGTATACATTGTTTTCTATACTGTCAGTACTGCATTATCTGTATAATAAGTGACATTTAAAAAATGATACAATGTCATTGAGATTCTTCCTTCAGTAAATTAATGGAGGCCTACAGAGTTTAGGGTGAAGAATTTGGGTGAGTTCTCACTGTTCTGTGCTTCTGGGGTTGCCCTATGTGTTTCATGAAGAAATCTAACATCTGCCCATCCTCCTCCATGGGAGTATTAGGAAGCTAAGAACAGCGAATCATCAACAGGACTAGGTATGAAAGAAAAAACACTGAGAATAAAAAAAAGAGAGAGAGAGAGAGACTGGGCATGGTGGCTCACACCTATAATCCCAGCACTTTTGGACGCCAAGGTGGACAGATCACTTAAGGTCAGGAGTTTGAGACCAGCCTGGCCAACATGGTGAAACCCTGTCTCTTCTAAAAAT